CCCTAAATATAAACTGTGGCCTCTGGGTGATAATGATGTGTGAATGTTTGTTCATCATTTGTAACAAATGTTGCATCTTATGGGAGATGCTGATAATGGGGAGACTAGGCATGCGGAGGGGCAGGGAGTGTGTGGGGAATCTCTACACCTTCTGCTTTCACTTTTGCTGTGAACCTAAAACTCCTCTAAAAAACAAAGGCTATTTTTTAAAAATATACCAAAGCTCAGGAAATGAGCTTCTTCCAGTATTAGGTTTGATTCTTTCCAAGAAAGAGCCTTTTTAAACTCTGGAGATAATGCTGAACAGGAGAGATTCTGCATACAGCAGAAGCCCCGTCTCAGGACTTGGTCTCTGTCTTTGTCCATCTTGCCCAGCAGCGGGCGCTCTTCCTTTATAAATATTTTAATATTCCACAGAGCAAAATGGATCCAGCTTTCTGTTTCCATTTTTGCAACAGCAACTGTTACATCATTGTAACAGGGACTTCCCCTCATTTCCAAACATATACACGAGGAGAAAAGGAGAAAAAAAAAAGGCCTCTCCTATCAGCGTTTCAGAAAAACCTAGAACTTTCACTCAACTTTTCTTCAATTTGTGGCTTTGTACTTTTAAGGGGAAAGTGACAGCCAGAAACCATAATGGAAAAGAGAGCAGCTATGTGAATGGGCAGAACAGCTTAATGAGGAGAGCACGCTGGAGGTTTCTGCATTGGAAGGAAGGAAACGATGGTGATACGAGAGTGAAAGAATGGGATCCAGGAAAGCAGAGAGGAAGGGGGAAGTGTGCCAGATACCAGGATCAGCAAATGAGTACTATATAAACGTATGTAATACTGTATTTCTTTATAGATATATAGTATATATAGTATATTTTATGGCATGTGTATTTTGTAGTGTATATGTACATATTTATATATGTATATATTATTATTGTGTATATAATTATGTACAATTAATGAGCCACTTTTTCCCAGTTCTGTTTTTTAGACCATCATCTTTTTGCAGTCAGTTACAGAGAGAGATGTAGGATAGCTCACTATACTCCTACAGATCTATATGAAAAAATAAGAAAATAGCCACCATCTGTTAAGACCTCACTCAATGGAAGATACTCTGTTAAGTGTTTTGAAATGTTCTAGTTTGTTTAATACTCACAATAACTCTAGGAATATTTCCACCTTACTTTATATTTGAGAAAACTGAAGGTTGGGGAAGTTGAGTAATTCCCCAGGATCACACATATGTCCTGGCAGAATCTAGGTTCAATGCGGAATCCCATATCACATGTGGTAAATAACTACTTAAGTTTCATCCTGTGAAACCTCAAACTCTCTGTTTTCTTCTTCACTGCTTTCTGGAGATCCTTCCTCCTGGTTTTCTCCTAACTGCACTGACTACTCTGTCTCTGTCCACTTTGCAGGCTCTCCTCTTTCTCAGCCTTAAAAGTTGAAAGTTTTTATAAGCCTTACGTCATCTTCTCGTTCTAACTCTTGTCATAAGTAACGACATCCATTACCATGCCCTGATTTCCAATTATGAAACAAACAATTACAAATTCATACCTCCAGGATGTACATTGTTGGAGATTCCACATTCACATATGCATCTACCAATGGGACAGCTGTCCTTAGATGTTTCTTGAGGACTCTATAGAGAACATCTGCCTTTTCCCCCTTCCTGACATCCCTCATTAAAGCTCCTGGTGACAGAATCCCTTGGCCTTTGTCTGCTTTATGTCCCTTTCTCTTCTAAATTGCAAGCTGCAAGACAATAGGTTTTGTGATTGCTTTATTCACCTCTGTATCCCCAGAATAACCACCTAATCTGGCATGGAAATATGCAGATTTAAAATATAACTGACTGGAAAAAATGAAGGAGTAATTTGAATTCATCCTCCATTCTTCAATATGGGTTGCAAATTAGGCTATTTCTTTTTTTAAGAATAAACAAATCCAAGATGTCTTCTGGGGAAAAATTTCATGAATTAAAGAATAGAATTTGACAAAAAAAGGTAAACAACTTTGGTTGTATTTCCACATATTATAAAGGTAAACATGATATTATATGAATAAAACTATTTTAAATACCATGAATTTGTGACATAGATAAAGTAGATGAATGAATAAATGAATGAATATACGAATGCACTGGAGCCCTCAGCATGTTAATCATAGTTATTTTAAATTCCTGGTCTGATAATTCCAAAATCTTTACCAAAACTGAGTCTAGTTCTGATGCATGCTCTGTCTCTTCAAACTGTTTTTCACCTTTTAGTATGCCTTGTAAGTTTTTTTTGAAACTTGGACATGATGTACTGGGAAAAAGGAACTTTTAGGCAAGGTGTTACATTTATCCAGCTCTGTTTACTGTTTGCTGTAGCTGTAAGTGTTTATTGTTTGGCTCTGTTTACTGTTTGCAGTAGCTGAAAGTCTCAGAGGCTAAAATTTCCTGTTGTGGCCTTGCTTTTTCCTCCCATGTTGTCTTTGGGTTTCCCTAGAGACTTCTTCAATGAAGTCTGACACTTGCAGTTCATTCATTGTAATCTCTGGTTATTGTACTGGAACCCTATTGATGTAAAGGTTGGTATCGGGGAGGCGCAGTGTTCTAGAATCCGGTGATTATGTCTCGGTCATTTAGTGAGCCTGTGCCCCTTGGCTGTGTCCTTCACAAGTGCTTCTCATCTTTTTTACCATCCTATGAGGTGAGACAGGAACATTAGAGGGGTTTGGAGTTAGGTATTTCCCTTCTCCCATGTGGAAGGCTAGAGGAGGCTGGAGTTGAGTATTTGCCTTCCTCCAGGTGGATTAGGCTCTGGTAAAATACTTTCCCTTGAGGGCAGGTCTTTGTTATGAGTATTTCAAAGTGATTTCTTTTTCCCTTCCTCTGCTGGAAGCATCAGGAGATTTTTCTCTGATTTGCACAGTGAGAACCTGGTGGGGCTCCTGAAGGTAAGAGTCACAAACATGTGAGCCCCTCCAAAGACTGGACATCTTGGAGTTATTTTTTGTTTTTAATTTTTTGTTTATTGAAGTAACATTGGTTTATAACATTGTATAAATTTCAGGTGTACATCGTTATACTTCTATTTCTGCGTAGATTACATCATGTTCACCACC